GTGGTCCTGGTGGTCCCTGGTGAGGAAAGACACAGCCCAGCCCTGGCACAGCTCATTTACCCCTCACCAACACAGACCCAGCTTTAACCTTCGGGCTTAGCTGAGGATCAGCAGCCTCCTCCCATCACTTCCCACCCTTGGAGTGGGAAGGCAGAGGCTGGAGCAGCCCAGTGAGGGGAGGACACGGTTCTCCAGCTGATGTACCTGCTCACCATCCAGCCCACGGACACCAGCTTCCCCAGGGTCTCCCACATCGCCCTGGAGAGGACACAGACACCAGGAGAGCTGGGGAGGTCTCCACAAGGCTCTTCTCCCACCTTGCACCAGGGATGTAAAGCCCCATCCCACTGGGCAAAGCCAGGGGCCAAACTGGGAGGGGTGCCCTGGGGAGGTCAGCAGAACAAGCCCAAGGCTCTCCAGGGGCCAGCAAAGGGAACCAACCCCCTCCTCTGTCCTCACCTTCTCTCCTCTCATCCCTGAAGGCCCTTCCCGTCCATTTGGACCTTCCCGGCCCTGCAAACGAACAATCCACATCAGCAGCAATTTGCCCCAACTCAGGAGGCCTTTCCAGCTCCTGAGCTGGCTCTGGGATGCCCTGGCACACAGCACGTGCCCACGGGAAGAGAAGCCACACACCAGCTCCTCAAGCCCCTTTCACCACCTTCCCTTTTCCTTCCCTTCCTGGGGGTGCTTTAGGGAGCTCCCCAAAAGTGCTGCACCAGCACAGTCCCTGAACCCCGTTGTGAGCCAGGGGATGTGCTGGGTGTGGATGGGGAGCCCTGGTTGCACTCACCAGGTACCCAGGCGGGCCAGCAGCACCAGCTGCTCCAGGAGCCCCGGGTTCTCCAGCCAAGCCAGGCTTCCCGGGAATGCCATCCAGCCCCCGCACGCCAGGAACACCCTGCAAGGCCAGAAGGCCACTCAGGCAGCCTGAAAAGCAGCTCTGGCTGCAGCTCCAGGGAGGACAAAGCCAGTAGGAGCCCCGTGGCTGATGCAGTTGGGCCACCACGGGGTCTGCAAGGTACCACCTGCTCCAGGGGGGTCCTGGTGCCCCTCACCTTCATGGTCTGAGGTCCAACCTGGCCAAGTGCCGGGTCCTGCACTGTGGCCACAACAACCCCCTGCAGCCCCACGGGCTGGGACAGAGTGGGGGGACAG